CTTACCTAGGGAAGGCTCTTTCCACTCTGGAAATTTTATCTTCTTGTTTCCAGAACTCTCTTATGCTTTTTTAAAATGGGATTTTTGCTATTTGTCTTTTTTTTTTTTTTAAGTTGCTGCAGCAGGAGTGCTGGCTTCTTGCTACTTTCTCCTGGCTACCAGAGCACAAGTTCATGAGTCAGCTTCTGCATCAGAGTCACAGATGCCTATGTCTTTCTACACAATCTCATTCTCTGGATCATGAAGATTATCTGTGCCATAGTATGTCTTAAAGAGTGCTCTACTGTGGTTTCTAGGTTTTTTGCCATGCTGCAGACACACTCTACAAATTTTGATAAGAATTTGACTAAATTCTTTCATTTTTTTCTTCAATTGAATCAAAATCAAATTTTACTGGAAGTTCCTCAGCTTCTGTTTCAAGACAGCAAGAAATTTATGACAAATTGAAGTTTAGCATCCTAACTGTTAACCCAACGCAACACATAAATTGGTCACACCAGACTCTTTTAAGTTGAAATTTCTTTCCTTTGTTCTGAGAGTATTAGCAACTTCTCCTCATGTCACCTATATTTTCTGGCCTGTATTATCAACAGTGGACATAACTCAAACGAAATGACAAAGTGTGAACAACTGTGACCCAATTTGTGCACATGGAAAGGGATGACAAAGTCCTTGCTGCTGCCTGGCAGGTGCAGATTATAAAATGCATCTTGATTTCAGAAATGTGATAAGTGCTAAAGCTAGAAAGGTGAATAAAGCAGATACAGTCTCTACTCTTAAGGAGTTCACAATTTAATGGAGGAGATGAAGATTAATTAAATATGTATAAAAAGCAATTACATGATTTAAAGTGTATAAGGTGTCCTAACACATAGAAAGCAAGTAATAAATTTTTGATGAGCTGGGTATGAAGAAGTATAGGATGCTATCATAGCAAAAAAAAAAATATGCTACATATTACCAAGGGTAACTTTTCAGCTGCCATAACATTGATCAAAATAATAAGAATGCTATTCTTTTTTCACAGTCTGGTAAGTGGCCCAGGCCTGGCCAACTGGCTCTGCTTCATGCAAACCACATTCATTCTATTGTTTTGCCACCCTCAACAAGTTTACTACCACCATCAGGACTCATTAAGTCATCGGCAGTGACTAATGTTGCAGTCACTGATTTAATTTGGTCCATGTGGGCACCTGGCTCTGGTAGCCTTTGAGGCTTCCTAAGGTGGCTTTGATGAGTAGCCAAGGATGAGAACCACTGGTCCAGTGGGGTCCTTGGCTGAAACCATAATCCACCAATTTTATTCCTAGCACATTTTGTGAGTGTTCTAGGCTAAACACTTTACATGTATAATCTAATTTTCTACCTTGCTAAGGAGGTTATTATTTCCATTTTACTGATGAAGAGATTGAGGCTCAGAGAGGCTAAGTAACTTGCCCAAGGTCCCTTGGCCAGTAAACAGCAGAAACGTACGCTGGGGAGATTACCCAGAAACTCTGTTCTTTTCTCTCTTCCCAACATCCTACTTACTCAAGGCTGTACAGTCCCTCCTTGATCTGACTTAGCTTAAAAGATCATTTTGTACCAAGAAGTTGGTTGGTCCCAAGCCAAGATTTTCCAGGAAACCCCTAGTCTTCTAATACCCCTCAGTGAAAGTAACACAGAGGCCCCAGATCAAATCAGTTGATCAATTGTTACCTTTCGTAGACCCAGGTTCTGACTTGTCCTCCCAAACAGTGGCTCCCAACCTTTTTGGTACCAGGGACCAGTTTTGTGGAAGACAATTTTTCCATGGGCCACAGAGGTAATGGGTTGGTGATGATTCAAGCATGTTACATTCATTGTGCCCTTTATTTCTATTAATATTACATTGTAATATATGATGAAATAATTATACAACTTATCATAATGTAGAATCAGTGGGAGCCCTGAGCTTGTTTTCCTGCAACTAGACAGTCCCATCTGAGGGTGATGGGAGATAGTGACAGATCATCACGCATTACATTCTCACAAGGAGCATGCAACCTAGATCCCTCACATGCGCAGTTCACAATAGGGTTTGTGCTCCTATGAGAATCTAATGCTACCTCTGACCTGACGGGAGGCAGAGCTCAGGCAGTAATATGAGCAATGGGGAGCTGCTGTAAATGGAGACAAAGCTTCGCTTGCTCACCCGCTGCTCACCTCCTGTGCCCTGTTCCTAACAGTGTCCATTGCCTGGGAGTTGGGAACCACTGCTCCAGAACCCTGCCTGTGTTTATTAGGGAGAAGTTAGAAAGTTCAAGATGGATACCACTCTTTTTCCAGCAAAGGCTGCAAATTTAAGTACTGTATTTCCCAGTCTCCTTAGCTGTTAGGATTCTGGATACAAATTAGGTTAGATTCTAGACAACAAATGCAATTAGGTTTTGGATTCAAAGTAGATGTCTTTCCGCAAGATTTGGAAAGCAGAAGAGCAGTAAAGATGCTTTTCCCATCCCTTTGGGACGTTTCTCTGCTGGCAAGCAGGGTCACAGAGGTAAGGTGCTTCTCACCGGCCAGGCATGGTTGTTCACACCTGTAATCCCAGGACTTTGGGAGGTCGAGGCAGGCAGATCACAAAGTCAGGAGATCAAGACCATCCTGGCTAACACGGTGAAACCCCGTCTCTACTAAAAATACAAAAAATTAGCCAGGTGTGGTGGTGGGTGCCTGTAGTCCCAGCTACTCGGGAGGCTGAGGCAGGAGAATGGCGTGAACCCAGGAGGCGGAGCTTGCAGTGAGCCGAGATCGTGCCACTGCACTCCAGCCTGGGCGACAGAGCGAGACTCCATCTCAAATAGATTAGATAGATAGATAGATAGATAGATAGATAGATAGATAGATAGATTAGATAGATAGATAGATTAGATAGATTAGATAGATAGATAGATAGATAGATAGATAGATAGATAGATAGATAAGCAAGCGAGCCAGGAGTAGTCCCGGCTACTCGGGGGCTGAATGGGAGAATATCCGAACCTAGGAGGTGGAGGTTGCAGTGAGCCGAGATTGCATGACTGCACTCCAGCCTAGGTGACAGAGTGAGACTCCGTCTCAAAATAAGTATTTTGATCCTGTGTAAGCTGTGGAACTGCCTCCTCTGTGACGGTGGCTACCCTCAGGCCAGGCCCAGGGCCAGCACTGGGCCTGCTTCAAGGGCTCATCGGTCCCTCAGATTTCCCAGGGGAGAAAGTCCAGCCTTGACCACAGTCTGTTACCAGATTGAGCACAGTGCTGCTCAAGCCTCTCTGTCTTCACCATTTGGGAGGAAGACGAGGCTGCAATGGACAGGCTCCTCTGGGCCATTCATAAGATGGAAATCTGGGATGCCTGCATAGGCCCTGAACAATGACACTCGATTTTTATCCAAAAACCAAACCAAAAACCAAAACAACCCACGCAAAAACTCCAAAAGGCTGTTGTGGAATGAGAAGAAAGAAGACCTGGCATCCAAGAAAGACCAGGCTCTGCCACTACCTAGCTGTGCAGCCTTGGGCAAATTGCTCAGCCTCTCTGAGCTTGTATCTCTTTCTGTAAAATGGCTATGATGATACCCATCTCAAAAGCTTGTCTTAACTTGCTTAGCACAAGGACTAGCACATCCGAAGTCCAAATACATGATTGCTCATTCATTAGTTTTGCTAGCGTGGTGGCCAGCACTCATTATGTGTTTGTTGGTTGTGTTTCAAAAGTATTCTAAGAAAAAACTGAGTAGGTACAGTTCTGTCACAATATGGTTCAAAGAGGTTTGCTGGTTGCCTGAAAACCCTGACATGATTTTAATAATTTAGGTCACAAGTAACCAATTTATTACCATGACCAGTACAAGCCACAGTTACCACTTACTGAACACATACAGGGTGCCAGGAGATATGCTAATGCTCCACATGCATTATCTCATTTAATCTTCACAGTAAATGGAGAACTGAATGCACCAGACCTCAGTAGAGGAAATAGTTTACTCTGGGTGTTTCAGCAGGAAGGGGTTTAATATGGGATACTACATGCTTTCAAACCCTGCAAAGCCCAAAGGAGCAGGTTCTCAGCTGGTCCTGCAGGCTTGACACCCAGACACTGCAGACCTGGTTCTCCAGGGGAGCTGCTACCTCAGAGGCTGGCACTGGAAACACTGAGTTTATGAGGACATGCAGCAGCAGCAGCAGCAGCAGCTGAGATCCAGAGATCAGAAAGCCAGAGTCAAGAAGCCACCTGCCCTGAAATTTCTTCTGGACAGTCAGGAGGCTGGAGAACATGTCTTGTGTCTTGGAGCACAGCCCTGAACAAGCACCTTACCTCTGTGACCCTGCTTGCCAGCAGAGAAACGTCCCAAAGGGATGGGAAACATCTTTACTACACTTCTGCTTTCCAAATCTTGCGTAAAGACATCTACTTTGAATCCAAAACCTAATTGCATTTGTTGTCTAGAATCTAATCTAATTTGTATCCAGAATCCTAACAGCTAAGGAGACTGGGAAATATAGTACTTAAATTTGCAGCCTTTGCTGGAAAAAGAGTGGTATGCATCTTGAGTAAGTCAGTAGTGCCACAGATGCCATTGTTATTCCCATTTTAGAGAGGAGAAAATGGATTCTGAGACTAGGACACAGGTCATCTTTGCCCTGAGTGAATGAGCAAATCCATTCAATGGCTGGCGGAAGTCACTGAACATCGATTTTGGCCTCAAGTTCAAATCACTTCCTCAGATCCAACTTTATCAGCAATAAAGCTGATGTAGGGCCCCTCTCCGACTTGCGTGTCTATTTCCCAATTGGTGTGGAACCTGTAGGAGGGAAGGGATGGGACTCTCCAAACCTCAAAATTCTAGAATAAAAATAGCCACCACCGCAAGAGCAAGAAGGGTGGTACCCTTTGGACTTAGTGCTTTCAAGTTCCTAAGGCATTTTACATGTATTTTATCTTTAAGCTCTCCTCACTCTGTTCTCCTCCAACCAGGATAATTAATAGCAGGCTATAAGAAGTCATTTCTAAAAGGAGATTTTATTAAAGCCCTTGCCAAAGGCTCGGAGGTGTGAGTTTCCATCAGCAAGGGTAGTGATTTCAGCAGCCGTCTTAGGATGTCCTGTTTCCTTTAGCGGGATTATGGTCAGTTGTGCCTTCAAAATCAGTTCTTCCCTTCTTCCTGTGCAATGGACACTTGCTAGAGGCTACAGTTGGCAGCTGACTTTGTGGCTGGGTGTGGCTATGACAACTTGGTCATCAACTGGATATAAGCAGAAGCGGTGTTTGCCATTTACACGTCACTGGCCTAAAAGAAAATTGATTGGACTGGACTTCCTCTCTTTCGCTTTTCCTTGAGCTAGAAGAGAGGTGCGCCTGAGATCGCAGTCTTACCCACACAAATGAAGATAATGCCTGAGACTCACCTGGAAGTCTTGGTCAGATAGCTGTGTCCCACTCCTAGTGTTTCCAATTCAGTAGGTTTGGCATGGGGCCTGGGAACTTCCATTTCTGACAAGTTCCAAGATGATGTTCATGCTATTGGTCCGGGGACCACACTTTGAAAACCACTGCCCTGGAACATGAAAGGGAAACAAATGGAAGACCCTGGACTTAATGGCTGAGTGCAGCAGAGCTGCCCCCAAACTGGAACTGCTGCTTTTGGACATCAGTAAGAAACCAATCAACTTCTATTTCTTTTAAGCCACTTGCGATGGTTAATTTTATGTGTCAACTTGACTGAACCATAGGATGTCCAGATAGCTGGCACCGCATTATTTCTGGGAGTGTCTGTGTGTATGTTTCTGGAAGAGATTAGCATTGGAATCAGTAGATTGAGTAAAGAAGGTCTGCTCTCACCAATGCAGGTGGGCATCATCCAATCTATTGAGGACCTGCATAGAATTAAAAAGTGGCAGAAGGGCAAACTCGCTCTCTTTTTGAGCCGGGTCATCCTTCTTCTGCTTCAGAACCCTGGAGCATCGGAACTCTGAGTTCTTGGGTCTAAAGACTGTGGGACTTACACCAGTGGTCCCCGGGTCTCTGAGGCCATCAGCCTCAAACTGAGAGTTACATCACCAGTGGCTCTGGTTTCCAGCCTTTGAACGCAGACTGAATTATACCATTGGCTTTTCTGGGTCTCCAGCTTGCAGACAGCATATTGGGGGACTTCTAGTCCCCATAATCAAGTGAGCTAACCCCCACAATAAATATCCTCTTCTATGGCTTTATATATCCCATTGGTTCTGTTTTTCTGAAGAACGCTGGCTACCCCACCATATATATATATATGCTGATATATATATGGCTGATATATATATTATATATATATATATTCCTCTTTGTGAAAGCATATATATATTTTGGTCCTCTTTGTGAAAGAAACTTCCCTTTTGCCCCATCCAGCACCCTGAGTGATTGTCTAGACAAGAAATAGGAGCCAGAGGCTGATTTTCAGCCAGCGGTTGATTTAAAGTCCAATTAATTATTCCTCTATGGTTAGGTCCTGCAAGAATTTTTTTTTTTTTTTTTTTTTTTTTTTTTTTTTTTTGAGATGGAGCCTCGCTCTGTCACACAGTCTGGAGTGCAGTGGAATGATCTCGGCTCACCGCAACCTCTGCCTCTTGGGTTCAAGCGATTCTCCTGTCTCAGCCTCCTGAGTAGCTGGGATTACATGTGCCCGCCACAACACCCAGCTAATTTTTGTATTTTTGTTAGAGACGGGGTTTCACCATGTTGGCCGGGATGGTATTGAACTCCTGACCTTAGGGGATCCACCCTCCTCGGCCTCCCAGAGTGCTGGGATTACAGGCGTGAGCCACTGTGCCTGGCCGGCAGTTTCTTACAAAACTACATATACTCTTAACTGTATAATCCAACAGTCATGCTTTTTTTTTTTTTTTTTTTTTTTTTTTTCCTTTTGTGAGATGGAGTCTCTCTCTGTGGTCCATGCTGTAGCACAGTGGCATGATCTCGACTCACTGCAACCTCCACCTCCTGGGTTCCAGCAATTCTTGTGCCTCAGCCTCCCAAGTAGCTGGGACTGCATGCATGTGCCACCACACCTGGCTAATTTTTGTATTTTTAATAGAGACGGGGTTTCACCATGTTGTTCAGGCTGATCTCGAACTCTTGACCTGAAGTGATCCACCCGCCTCGGCCTCCCAAAGTGCTGGGATTATAGGCATGAGCCACAGTGCCTGGCATGCTCCTCAGTATTTACTCAAATGAGTTGAAGACATGTCCACACACAAACCTGCACATAGGTATTTGTAGCAACTTTGTGCATAATTGCCAAAACTTGAAAGCAACCAAAGTGTCTCTCAGCAGGTGAATGAATAAATAAGCTGTGGTACATCTAGACAATGGAATATTATTTAGCATTAAAAAGAAATGAGCCATCAAGCCATAAAAAGACATGAAGGAAACATAAATGAATGTTCCTAGTAGCCAATCCAAAAGGCTACTTACTACATGATACCAACTATACGACATTCTAGAAAAGGCAAAACTATGGAGACAGTAAATATATCAGTGATTTCCAGGAGTTAGTGGGGATGGGGGTGGAGATAAATATGCACAGCACAGAGAACTTTTAGGGCAATGAAACTACTCTATATGATATTATCATGGTGGGTACATGTCATTACACATTTATGTACACTCATAGAATCTGCAACACCAAGAGTGAACTTCAATGTAAACTGCAGACGTTGAATGATAATGATGTCAATGTAGGTTCATTGATTGAACAAATGTCCCACTCAAGCATGGAATGTCGATAGTGGGGAAGTTTTGCATGCATTGAGGTATGGGTATATGTGAACTCTGTGCTTTCTGCTCAACTTTGCTGGGAACCTAAAACTGCTCTTTAAAAATGAAGTCTCATTTTTAAAAAATAGCTTACTGGATTGGTTTGACTGAAGACTGAACACAACAGAAGGCAAAATTAATGAACTCAAAGACAGTCATTTGGCTCAGCCAAGATGAAGAAACAAAAATCAGATTTATCCTCCCACATGAAAAAAAAAAGTTATATAAAGCAATGTTTAAAAAAAAAAAAAAAAAAAAAAAAAAACTGGGCATCAAGTAACAAAGGCCAGTGACCCCTGAGACGAGGGGAAACCCTGAGGTTGTCCAGCTTACTGCCTTCAGTTTCCAGGTATGGCACAGGGATGGGGAACCATGGCAGAGCTGGGTGGGTTCCCTGAGTTGAGAAGAATGAGCTGAGAATCTGAAGAAAGCCAGACATCTAGGATTACCAGGACAGAGAGGACAAGAGAGAAGTAAATGTTTAAAGTGGGTGGGTGCTTGGTGTTTGATAAATGCTAGTTTACCTTCCCTCCTTTCCAAAGTCTTTGCATCCTGAAAGGCATCTTTCAAAGAAGCAGAGCTTTCAGCTTTCAGAATGGTTTTTAGAGATGGAACAAATTTCTTTTCTTTCTTTCTCTCTCTTTCTCTCTCTCTCTCTCTCTCTCTCTCTCTCTCTCTCTCTCTCTCTCTCTCTCTCTCCCCCTCTCCCTCTCTCCCTCTCTCCCTCTCTCCCTCTCTCCCTCTCTCCCTCTCTTTCTTTCTTTGGCAGAGACTCCCTCTGTCACCCAGGCTGGAGTGCAATGGCCCCATCTCGGCTCACTGCAACCTCCTCCTCCAGGGTTCAAGCGATTCTCCTGCCTCAGCCTCCCGAGTAACTGGGATTACAGGCACGTGCCACCACACCCGGCTAATTTTTGTATTTTTTTTTTTTTTTTAGTAGAGACAGGGTTTCACCATGTTGACCAGGTTGGTCTCGAACTTCTGACCTCAGTGATCCGCCTGCCTCAGCCTCCCAAAGTGCTGGGATTACAGGTGTGAGCCACTGCACCTGTCAGAGATGTAATGAACTTCTGATGTCTCTGTTCACAAGGAGAAAAGACCTTTCTGAGCAGAGGCCAGGTCCTTTCGCCAGGTCTGAGATCGCATCAGGGAGGCAGCCAGGTGCTCCCGACACTGAGTGAGACTGCACACACACGCTCTCCTTCGATCCTGCAGCAGAGGCCCCATAGACCAGTTAGCTGCGTCTGAAAAGGAAACATGGAGTCTCATTGAAATCTCTGCACAACTTAGATTCATTCTTCTCTGAAATCTGAATTTTTAATAGAAAGTTCCAGCCATTCAGAAAGTGAGCAGAGGCCCTAACACTGCAAAGAACGCATCTCCTGCTGGCGATTTCTCCAGTCTGCTGTCCATTTCTGAGAATGTTCCATAAGGTGAATAATTTATGCTACTTATTGATTCATGGTCCTTAAAAGGCTGAGGTTAAAGGAGACTGAAGGTTTCCACTGAGTGGGAGCCCAGCTTCCCTGAAGGCATTTCTTGCAGATGCTTGGCTGCTCCACACTTGGGTGTGGGGGATCGCTATCTAAAAATATCCCACAGTGCAAAATCTTTTGTATGAACATCATGAATGTCTTTGATAAAATGTAAATATGTCAGAGAAAAGGTAAATTAAGCATTTAAATTACAGCTAAGAAACCTCGTTAGGAGTGGTAGGGGGAGATCACTGTCCCCAATCCTTTAATCCTTGCCTGTAAGAGGATGATATGGCCACACCCTCTGCCATGTGACTGCAGCACTGCCTGATGGAGCTGGTATTATAAACCCAGAAAATCTGAGACAGGTCTCAGTTAATTTGGAAAGTTTATTTTGCCAAGGTTGAGGGTGTGCCCGTGACAGTCTCAGGAAGTCCTGATGACATGCGCGCAAGGTGGTCGGGGCACAACTTGGTGTTATACATTTTGGGGACATATGAGACATGAATCAATATACGTAAGAAGCACATTGGTTCAGTTTGGAAAGGTGGGACAATTGGAAACAAAGGCAGGAAGACTTGAAGCAGGAAGGAGGCTTACAGGTCATAGGTAGACGAGAGCAAATGGTGGCATTCTTCTGAGTCTCCCATGAGCCTTTCCAAAGGAGGCAATCAGATATGCATCTATCTCAGCGAGCAGAGGGATAACTTTGAATAGAATGGGAGGCAGGTGTGCCCTAAGCAGTTTCCAGCTTGAGTTTTTCTTTTAGCTTAGTGACTTTGGGGGCCCAAGATACTTTTCTTTCACAGTATAAACAACGCCTCTCCATTAAAATTTGGTTTGGTCATGTATCTTGTTTTAGCCAGTAAAATAGTAGCAGCTGTGATGCCAGCTGAGGTTTTGAATGTGTTCGCATGGATTGATTTAGCCTCTCGAGTTTCTGTTATGCACCATAAGAAGAGCATTTTCTGGGAACTGTTGGCCCTAGACACTTGGTGCCCAGAGGCCCCAGGAACCCCATCTGAAGCAAAGCCAAACCAGCCGGCCCACAAACCTGTGGCAGATACGGGAGAACCAACGAGGAGGTGTGATGTGGTTTGGATGTTTGTCCCTCTCAAATCTCATGTTGGTGTGATTCTCAATCCCTCCTGAATGGTTTAGCACCATCTCCTTGATGATGAGGGAGTTCTTGCTGTTACTCCCCATGAGATCTGGTTGTTTAAAACTGCGTGGGGCCTCCTCCCTCGTTCTCTTGCTTCCACTTTTGCCATGTGATACACATAACCCTCCTTTGCCTTCCGCCATACTTGGAGGCTTCCCAGGGCCCTCTCCAGAAGCAGATGCCAGTACCATGTCTCCCGTACATTCTGCAGATCCAAGAGTCAATTAAACCTCTTTTCTTTCTAAGTTACCCAGTCTCGGGTATTCTTAATAATAGCAATACAAGAATGGCCTAACACAGGGTGTTAGGAATTGGCAGATCCTGGAGGACATTGTCATCCATCCCCTCTTAATGACCCTTCACTCTAAAGAGCACTGTCAGCCAGGCAAGGTGTCTCATGCCTCTAACCCCAGCACTTTGGGAGGCTGATCACTTGAGCTCAGGAGTTCAAGACCAGCCTGGTCAACGTAGCGAGACCCCATCTTAACTAAAAATACAAAAAAAAAAAAAAAAAACCTGGACATGGTGGTGGCGTGTGCCTCTGTAGTCCCAGCTACTCAGGAGGCTGAGGAGGGGAGGATCACTTGGGCCTGGGGGCAGAGGCTGCAGTGAGCCAAGATGGCGCCACTGAACTCCAGCCTGGAGAGAACTCCAATATGACCCAGAAATTCCACTCCTAGATACATACCCACGAGAATTGAGAACAGGAACTCAAATATTTGTATATGAATGTTCGTAGCAGTATTGTTCACAATTGCCGAAAGGTAGAAACAACCCAAATGTCCATCAATGGACGAGTGGAAAAACAAAATGTGGACATAACAGATTATTCAACCATAAAAAGGAATGAAGTTACATGTCACGATGTGTATGAACCTCAAAAGCCTTATATTAAGCGACAGAAAACAAACACAAATGGACAGAAAGTATATGTATTCCTATTACATACCCAAAATAGGTAAACCCATACAGACAGAAAGCAAATTGGTGTCTGCCAGGTGCATGAAGAATTGGGAATGGGGTCTACCTGCATCCTGGGTACAGGGTTTATTCTGGAATGATAAAAAATATTGGCCGGGAGCGGTGGCTCAAGCCTGTAATCCCAGCACTTTGGGAGGCCGAGACGGGCGGATCACGAGGTCAGGAGATCGAGACCATCCTGGCTAACACGGTGAAACCCCATCTCTACTAAAAAAATACAAAAACTAGCCGGGCGCGGTGGCGGGCGCCTGTAGTCCCGGCTACTCGGGAGGCTGAGGCAGGAGAATGGCGTGAACCTGGGAGGCGGAGCTTGCAGTGAGCTGGGATCCGGCCACTGCACTCCAGCCTGGGCGGCAGAGAGAGACTCCGTCTCAAAAAAAAGAAAAAAAAATATATTTGGCCAGGCGTGGTGGCTCACGTCTGTAATCCCAGCACTTTGGGAGACCAAGACAAATGGATCACCTGAGGCTGACAGCTCGAGACCAGCCTGACCAACATGGAGAAACCCCATCTCTACTAAAAATACAAAAAAAATTAGCCGGGCGTGGTGGCGTGTGCCTATAATCCCAGCTACTCGGGAGGCTGAGGCAGGAAAATCGCTTGAACCCGGGAGGCGGAGGTTGTGGTGAGCTGAGATCACGCCACTGCACTCCAGCCTGGGCAACAAGAGCGAAACTCTTTCTCAAAAGATATATATATATCTCTATATATTTTGAACCTAGATAGAGGTGATGGTTTACATAACATAGTCAATGTACTATATGCCACTGAATTATTCACCTAAAATGGTTAATTTTGTGTTATGTAAACTTTACCTCAATAAAAACAAGAAAAGATTATGTCCATACAATGGGGTGTTTAATAACCAGAAATACCACATGGGCTTAGTGTCATCTCCTCTATCAATGAATCCGCTCTGGAGTAGGAGCATACCAGGTCTCAGAAGCTTGCAAATTTTATTCTTTTTTTTCTTAACCGCCTCACTCCGCTCCCAAGAAGCTTGCAAATTTTAATCTGAGTTAATTTGCAAGTGGATTTGGGTAATCTGGCTCTAGATCCACTTAGAGGTTGCCTATAAATAGCTGTCTTGAGGGTAGGGGAAAGGCATTATGGCATTAAGCAGATAAAGCCTCTGATCTAGTTACAGTTCCTTTCAGGGATGAATAAAGCTTTGGGGATATTATCCAACCCCTTTATAAACCCAGGTTTATAAGGCCTGAACCTTGAATTCCTTGTCACCACTTGCAAATTTAGATGAGCTGCCGCAAGGGGGCAGTGGTGTCCAGGCGATGACCTCCTATGTTGCGCAAATTCGTAGAAATACTGAGTTTCAGATTCTCGAGTTTCTCTCGTTGAAAGTGGTAGCAATTATCCCCAGGCCACTTAACAAGCCAACAGCCATTTAGAAAATATGTACGTATATTAAAGAAAATGCTAGATCTGGAAAAAGATCTTTCGAAAACAGCATGTCCAACCAGGGTTATTATACAGAAACTGGGTTGAGAGAGGGCAGTGACTGGCCCAGAGCCGCGGAGCCAGGTCTGGGACCCAGGTCTCGTATATTCACGTCCCATGCTCTGGGTGCTGCAGCCTCCTGCTCTCCTGAGCCTTTCTCCAGCGTTCAGCACAAGCCATACCTGCATGTTGACATGAGCACGTGTCATTGTTGTTCCTACAGCACAGTAGGAACTTGACCCCTGCCTCCAAATTCCCACCCCAGCTGCGCCCTTTCTCCCAAGCAGAGCTGGCGGTCCGAGAGCAGTGACTGGGGACAAGCGTCCACGCGGGGCTGACGAACTGTCAAAGTCGCCACCATCTGTCAAGACCTATGAGGACGCACACAATACGGGCAGGCGGGCAGGAGAAGTGGCGGACGCAGTCGGTCACCCAGCATCAGCTTCCGAGGCGCACTGCTTCACCTGGTGACCTGTCCCCGGCCTACGGGTCTCCAGGAAGCGCTCCAGTCCCTGCCAGATGCTAGCGGGAAGGCGGGAGGGGGCGCCCTGCAAAGCTGGCTGAGACGCCGTCCCAGCGCCCGAGAAGCTGCGAATCTGCCTGCGGGGCTGAGACTCAATCTAGGAAAGGGTAAGCAAAGATGCACGCGCCTGGGAGGCACGCAGCGGATTTCCAAGTCGTCTGCACAAATCATTCACCCCCAGGACACGTGCGCATGTTGACAGGGCCGACTCCGGAGGAATTCCAACTCTCCTGTATCTGCCATCTGGCAGAGGGGACAGCTGACCCTTCACCCCATCTCTGAAAGGGCGGAGGATCTTTCCTCCCATTGCTTCCTACCGAATGCTCAGGATGCCTCGGTGTTGCCTACCTTCCGCAAAATCCTCAGGGCTGGATCGTTTTCCGAAACTGCCACCAGAGGGAGCGCCAACGATAGAGCTGGATTTTGCTTCCTCCCAGCACATAAAGGAAGTCGGGGGCGGGGGAAATGCTGTTCTCTGCTACCAGCAGGTGCAAAGATGAGCTTAAAACGCCCAAGATTGTAACTTCACTACTAATTCATGAAAAGCATATGGTGGAATAATGCTGGATCTGCAGAATGACAGAATAGCTGTCCTCCACCGTGAGTTTGCCTCATTTCAGACTCAAATACTCCAGACCCAAATGATCT